TAGAAAACTGCATAGTTAGAAGTATTCCTAGATCATTTCCTCTTTTTATAAAAATGCATAATATGGTTAACCGTTACAATGTTAATTCCAATTTTTCTTAGTAAACTAAAAAAAATAACATGGAATGTATTTTTTGAAGCAAACGAGTACTTATCTGCTTCAATCTCACAGTGGTTTGTATTTAAGATATAGAAATTTTTGTTTTTATATTTGTTACCTAGAAGACTGTTGGGTTTTTCTGTCCTTTTCCTGGAAATTTTTTTTACAATTTCTATGATACAAAAAATTTTCTATATATTTAAGTGGTCAGTTGTATTATATTTACTCACACCTGCTTATAAAATCTTTTAAAATGTCCTGTATACTGTATAAAAATCTGTCTTTCCCCTTCCAGTTGATCAGGTACAGAAAAAAAAAAAAGAAATCTAAAATATAAGGAGGTTTAGGCATCAAAGATAGATTAAGAGGTGTAATATTTACCTAGTAGAAGTTCTGCAAGAAAAGACAATGAAAAGAGAAGCAGCTAAATTAAAAGGAATAATACATGATTTTTCCAGACTGATAAATAAACAGTTCCTCAGATGGTAAAAGAAACATGAGTCTTGAACAATAGACAGAAAAACTGCAGAAAAACCAAGATGAAGGTAAAAATATTAAAAGAAGCAGTGATGAACCATAAAGTATAAGCAATGATTCACAAGAATTGTAATTTGTCTGACAACAAATTTTACATTAGCAAAAACTGATTGTAGAAAAAAAAATACCTTGAAAATACTGAGGGAAAATGACAATCAACACAAAGTGTCATTTAATAATGAGGCTAAAATAAAGATATTTAACACAACGGTGGATTCTTATCACTCATAGAATTTATCTGAAAGAACCATTAGATGATGACACTTATTAAGAAAAAAATTCATCCCAGAAAAGAGCTACAGTTTTGTTTTTTTTTTTAGATGAACTCTTGCTCTATCGTCAGGCTGGAGTGCAATGGCCTGATCTCAGCTCACTGCAACCTCCGCCTCCTGGGTTCAAGGGATCCTCCTGCCTCAGCCTCCCAAGTAGCTGGGACTACAGGCACGTGCCACCACACCCAGCTAATTTTTGTATTTTTAGTAGAGACATGGTTTCACCATGTTGGCCAGGATAGTCTCAATCTCTTGACCTTGTGATCCTCTGGCCTCGGCCTCCCAAAGTGCTGGGATTACAGGTGTGAAACAGAGTGCCTGTCCTATAGTTTTTTTTAAAGAAGATATATTGACATAAATATTTGTGTAAAATATAATAATTTAACAGTGATAAAGACACATATGGAATTTTGAATACAAAGAAAACTAACATACTAGACAAAAATTACCAAGATATGTGAGTCAAAGCATTCTAAAACTCCTTTGTTGTTTAAGAGTAAAACAGAAATATTATGATATACCTGTATTAAGTCAAGTATGCACATTAAAATTTTAAGGGTAACAAAGAAAAGAATAAGATCTTATACACAGTTAGAGTGGAGGTGAGTGACCTGAAAGGAAAATCTAACGATATTATTTAGAAAGCACTAAAAAAAAAGCATATGTAAATATTGAAGAAAGTTTAAGATACAAAGAAGATTTAGAAAGTGTAAGAAACCACTAATTGAAGTTCCAGAGGAATAGAACAATAAAAAGAGAAAAATTTGGAAACATACTGAGACTTATCTAGAGTTGATAAGAGATTATAATTTGCAAATTTAAGAAGTCAAATAATTAAAAGCATATCTACGTTGTGTAAGACTATATTATTCTTCCCAAATACTTGCTACTCCTTCCTGGAGAGGAAAATATTTGTCCACCCAATGAATATTGTGTGTGGTAATGTAACTTGCATTAGTTAATGAAATAAAAGCAGTAACAGCACATGTCTCTTCTAATTAGAGGCTTAGGAGCTAGCATGTTTTGCCATTCTTTCTTTTTCTTCTGCCATGATTACTGGAAATGCCCTAGATTAAGGCTCATCTGTCAGCCTAGATCCCAAATCAATGGAACATGGAGCAAAGCCATGGGTAACTCATAATCGATGTGTGGCATAGAGGAGACATAAACATTTGTTGCTCTATTTTTTGTTAACACATTTTAAACTAGACAGCAGTTCTCAATAGACAGAGATTTTATCTCTCAGGGGACATCTGTCAATGTCTGGAGACTTTTTTGGTTAGTACAACTGGAGGCTGTGGTACTACTGACATCTAAAGGACGGTGGCCAGGAAATATACTAAACATCCTACAAGATACAAGACAGTCCCATGAAAAAGACTTTTCAGCCCATAAGATCTCATCAGTGCCAAGGTTGGCAACCTCTGATCTAGCCTATCCTAACGATTTTATAGACCCAGACACATTATAGTGAAACTGCAGGTCACCAAAGACACAGTGTTCTTAAAAGCAACCACAACACATTGACTGATTATAATCAAAGAACTAACAATCGAACAATCAGCTAATTTCTCAATAGAAACCAGAAGGCAGTGGAATATTTCAAAATTCTGAGAGAAAATAACCATTAACATAGAATTGCATAATCAACAAACCCATCTTTTAGAGATGAGAGCAAACTAACAGCATTTTCAAATAAACAAAAACTAAGATATTTGTAGCAAGTAGACCTTAAGTAAAGAGTATGTTTCAGCCTGTCCCTACTCTAAAAGTAATCCTACTTGAGAAGTTTGATATGCAAGAAGCAATGATCAAGCAAAGTTGTTAATATAAGGACATATTTAAACAAACATTGAGTATATAAAACAATATCAGAGTTTAAAAAAAAGGAAAATAAAGCTAAAAGCATGATAAACATAATGTAAAGATCAAAATTAAATTTTCTGAGATCCTTGTACCATTTGTGAGTTTGAAAAAATATCAGTTAACTTTAGAGTTCAAAATGTTGTATATAAATTTTAATTTCTAAAGTCTCAGTCTTAAAATGTGTTAAGCCAAAACTGACAGAAGTACAAAGAGAAATTGATCAATCTACAATCATGGTGGCTACTTTTTACATAGCTCTCTCAAAAGTAAGTCAAGAAGCAAAACATTATTTAAAAAATAAAATATTTAAACAACAAGATTAGCAACCTTAATAATGAGTATATATGGAATTTTGCATCCAATTAGATGATTTGTCCTTTTTTGGCACATTTTGACCATGTATTAAACATAAAAGTAGTCTCCAAACATAACTAACAAATCTGTAAAATTTAAAGGCTTTCTTTTCTCACAGTGAAATAAAATGAGGGTCAGATGCGGTGGCTCACGACTTGCCCTGTGTAGGATCACCCCTGTGATCGCAGCACTTTGGGAGGCTGAGGCGGGTGGATCACCTGAGGTCAGGAGTTCAAGACCAGCCTGGCAAAGATAGTGAAACCTAGTCTCTACTAAAACTACAAAAATTAGCTGGGTGCAGTGGCAGATGTCTGTAATCCCGACTACTCAGGAAGCTGAGGCAAAATCACTTGAACCTGGGTGGCAGAGGTTGCTGTGAGCCGAGATCAAGCCACTGCACTCCAGTCTGGGTGACAGAGTGAGACTTTGAGTCAAAAAAAAAAAAAAAAAAAAAAAAAAAAAAAATTACAGTGACTACATCAGTGCGGCTCTGGTGAAGGAGTAGATAATAAGTCTGACAATGGTGATAATGTTAAAAACATCTAATGTTTTGAGTGCTTCTATGTGCCATGAAATGTTCTATGTGTTTTATATACAGACAAATATTTAAATTTTACAACTTCATGAGGTAGAATCTGCTAGGCCAATTTTACAGATGAAGAAACTAGGGCAAAGAAAAATAATTTCACCAAGGTTAAAGGATTAAACATTAGAGGCAATATATGAACCCAGATAAAAAGCATAAGATTCCTGTATTATCATTTTTTGTGTTGTAAAGTGAAGCAAAAGACATTAGAGACAGATAGATACATATGTGGAAAATAAGACCTAGAGAGAAGAAATTATGAATCAGTGGGTAAAGGAAGATGCAGTCAGTAAAATGCTAGAACTACACACACACACACACACACACACACACACACACACACACACATATTAATGTATATGTGTATATATAATATAAAAATAATCAATATAAAATAAATGTTTATCCAGATCTCACATTACCTCCCTTTAAGTTCATTGTAAATATCTTAAAAATCTAAATGTCAAAAGCAAAACTTAAAACAAAGTTGGAAGAAAATACACACACACAGTACAAAAACAAACACAGATCTTCAAAAAATTAAAGGATTAATTTGTATTAAATGTAAATCTTATATACCAACTGAGATAAAAAACAAAGGTAAAAGGAAAATGTCTCAATTGAGGACATTCCCAATGCATATAGCCAACAAGAATTAATATCCAGAATATATAAATTACTGTAACAAATCAATAAGAAACACACATGCAGCTTAGGAGAATTATTAAAGAATAGCAAAAGACAATTTACAGAAGGGAAAACCCAAATGGTTGATTAACGAAAAGCACTCAACATCCATCATAACGAAACAGACGCTAATTAAAATAGAGTTTGATTTTTTTGTTTAAGTTTCATAATACCAAGTGCTGTTGAGCTTTTGAGGAGATGAAAATATTTATCCTTCAGTGATAAATGTGCAAAATGTTGTAACCACTTTGAAGAGTAATTTAGCAATATCTAATTCATTTAAAAAGACACACATTTTATGTGGTAGCCAGTGTTCACGATGGCTACCAATGACACAGGCTTCCTGGCATTCACACCCAAGTGAAGTAACCTCTCTTATGGTACCAGGGTGGTGGCTAATACCATAAAATACAAGTGGTTACGTATACACACACACACACACACACACACACACATATATACACATATATAATGTTATTAGATTATATGACATATATATGTCATTAGATTATAAGATACTGTAGCTTTCATCTCGAGCTCTGTTACCTCCTCCTCCTCCTCCTCCTCCTCCTCCTTCTGTCTCTTTTTCTCTCTCTCAGATCACTTGTTTGGGAGGCAGTCAGCTGCAATATCATGAAAATGGCCCTATGGACAAGTCTGCATGGTGAAAAATAGAAGCTTCCTTACAAAAGCCACATGACTGAGCTTGGAAGTAGATCCTCCAGTCTTTGAGATGACTGCGGCCTAGAAGGACAACCTTGACAGTAACCTCATGGGAAACCTCCAGAAACCACCCAAATAAGCTGCTCCTAGATTCCTAACTCACGGAAATTTTGAGATAATAAATATTGTTTAAGCTGCTGACTTTTGGGGTAATTTGTTACAAAGCAACAGATGATGAATGCACTGTATTTCCCTGCAATCCGACTTAACAGGCAATACCGCAGACCCGTTCTTTCAATATTCTTTTTATGTCATGGCTCACGTAAAATATGATAAGGTTTGTGTGAGTAAATACCCAGGCCTGAGGCAGGCTATTTACTGAGGCACAGCCTGGTGTCTCAGGGCCCATCAGCTGGATCGAGACACCTGGTGAGCTGAGCAGATTACTCTCCCTGCATTTCCGTATCCTACTTTTTCTAAAAAACCATCACTATAGGGAAACACACAACAAGTAGAGAGAGATGTAAAGTGATGTTCACATAGAATTTTTTTAAAATTTTAAGACATTTGTATAAGTTTTATTTTGTATTGTATATTATTGTATGAGAAACAGGAAAAAGTTTGAGAAAGAAAGGAGTATCAATATTTTGTAAAACAAAATTTGCCATTATGTGTTCCTTATGCCTTAGTGCCCACCATAGCTTTAAGAAGATATAGAAAAAGAATGAAAAACAGTAAAGTTGAGGAGAAAAATCTCTAATCATAAATTTTATCACTTACCACATTGATGAGTTTTGTTTTCACCTCCCACTATTAGTAAATAATGTTTATTTCCTTTTATGTCCCCAACTTTCTCTGAAAAGTAAAAATTTGCATAAATTAAGCTTTTCTACTCTTTCATATTCATTTAAGTTTTGCTTCTACTTTTATTTACACTATATAGAAATGTTCAGGTAAAAGTAATTCATGACATGCTTGAAATATCAGAGCATATCAGAGTGTTACTAATAAGAAGCAACTCTTTCTCTCCTCCTCAAGACAGATTCCATTTCCCAGAGAAGATCACTTTTAATAGTTAACCCTAATGTTAGTGCCCTGCTCCAAATTAATATGTTGAAATCCTAACTCCAGTGTGACTGTATCTGGAGATGGAGCCTCTAAGGAAGTAACTGAGGTTAAATGAGATCATAAGAGTGGGGTCCCAATCCTATATGATTAGTGTCCTTATATAAAGAGACACCAGAGAACTCTTTCTCTGCCCCAACTTCTCCCTCCGTGGCTCTCACTGAGAAAGGCTACATAAGGATTTAGCATAAAGGTGGACGTCTACAAGCATGGGAGAGAACTCTTTCCTGAAACCAAATTGCCAGCACCTTAATCATGGTCTTCCAACCTCCGGAAGAGTTAAAAAATAAATGTCTGTTGTTGAAGCCATTTGGTCTGTGGTATTTTGTTACAGACTGCAAGTTATCTAAGATACTTAACCACTGGATTTTCACTACTGACAAAAATTCTTCGCTTGGCTGAACTTTAGTCAGGCTTCTGAAACTTCTCCTAGGCCCATCTATGTACTTCCTTGTAAAATACAGATTTAGCAAAAGAACCCAGGCAGCTTAGTTTAGCCAGAACCCCCAATCTTGATATCTGATCATTCTATAAAGAATGTCATTCTATAAAGAACAAGTGATCAGGCTCCTCATTCTCCACTATGCCCCAGGTGATGCCTGACCATCCTGGCCTCTCTTCAGCAAGAATCTTTCAGGTCAGTTTAGCCAGAATCCCTTCTACTACTAATGTTTCATCTTAGTAGTTTTCCATCCACTGACTCGTACTCTGTTCCTTGGGTATAAATTCCCATTTGCCCATTCACAGTCGAGTCCAATCTCTCTTCCCCACAGCAAGACCCCTTTGCAGTGGTCCTTATACCTTGGTGATGGTTCTGAATAAATTCTCATTACCTGTAATATGTATCATTAAATAAGATACATGTTCATCTGTCACATATGAAACCATGCCACTCTCCAAACATGAGGTACTTGTTAAAATGAGATTGCAAAGCAAGCCTCAGAAATAATATAAAAAGCAAGACAGGCTTCTTTAAGTTCCACATTATAAACTTTTCAACCCAGGGACAAAAGTTGGACTCACACTTAGGTGGGAAATTTTCAGTAAAATGAACATACATATATTAAAACATGAAAGACAAATTTGAAAATTCATGTGTCCACATTATTCCAGAGCCAAACTCTGGCTACTATGTGGATTGGTGTTGATGCATGATTGCATGTAAAATTAATGACTTTGTTGTATTCCGTGATAATGTGCAGTCATAAGATAAAGCATTTTAAGGTATTTTCCATTATGTGACCCATCAATGAAACATTCATTATTTAAAATCCCTGGGAAAATTAATAGATATACCAATTATATGCAAAACAAATGGAAATACAAAAATGACTTTTATTATTCATTCACTATGAATTATTATGTACTTTGGCCAAAGGTGATCAATAGCCAGATAGAGTCAAGGTTTAAATTTATAATTGTGATGTATTTTTTTAATGTTAATATCAGGGATTATACAGAAAAGATAGCAAACAAATTAAAGTTATGAAGAGAATATAAAGCATGCAATCCTGACAGCCTACAAATTGGTTTCACAGAGCATTTTGGTCTAGATGTTAATGAGAATTTGTTGAACTAGTTTCATCTGTGATTTTAACAGCCTTCATCTATTTATCTTACTCTTCACGTATTTTCTCATAGCACAGGTGTTGCAGGTAGGACAAGTTGACACAATTAACAGTTACTTTCCTCAGACTCAGTTTTAATGTATCTTCTGATCAGTAATAACTGGACATATTACTTATTTTCCAGATGTCTTCATGCAATATAAGAAAACAAGCAAATGAATGAAATGGTTTTTCCTCAACAACTTGAAAAAAATTAAAGTAGAAAAATTTTTATTTTAATTTCATTTTGTCTATATTTGAACATAACAATGTCTTTCTGAAATACTTCCCTCCCCCCCTTTTTTTTTCCTCAGAGACAGGGTCTCACTCTGTTGCTGAGGCTGTAGTGAAATGAAGTGGCAGAATCATAGCTTGCTGCAACCTTGCACTTCTGGGCTCAAGCAATCCTGATACCTCAGCATCCCCAGTAGCTGGGACTACAGGAATATACTACTGTACCTGGCACTCCATATTTTTCTAAATGTTTGTTTCAGATGATGTTCTGCCCATAACAGACTCACTCAGTACCACAAATTACTATTTGATTTTTTGTTTTTGTCTTTATGAAAGACAAATAGAACTGAATTTTGTCAAGTCTTAAAAGTGATTTCTAGAATGCCTCTGTATATCATTTGCAAATGTGTACTACCAAGACTTTATTTTGAGAATTGTACTATGAAAGCCTTTACATGCAGTAGTCAAAGCAGTAAATGAAATAGGATCTGCAGGAAAAGAAAGCATAATAATAGTAATAATAATAATAACAACAGCTCAAAGAGAGGTCTGGTGTTCGTTTTTAGTTACTTGGAAGTAACTTCTAAACCCTTGGAATTTTGAGAGTGATTGGAATGTCTTTGTTATTCATGGTAATCCCCTGGTGCCATATCTGAAAATTAATGCCAATGAGATGACTCAGAGAGGAGCAAGCCATGCCAGAAAGACAAAACATATGACTGTAGTTTTGTCTAGTTTCAGAGTTTGGGGCCAGGTGATATCAGCCTGACCTCCCAGGATTGGGGTGCTAGAGATTGAGCTCAACCATGTGGAGGATGATTCCATTAATCCTGACTATGTAATGAAACCCCAAATAAAATCACTAGCTCCTGGAGACTGTGATGAGCTTTCTGGGTTGCCAATACTCTGTGCATATTGTCACACATTTGTAGCTCTATTTGTAGAGCTTAATGCACCCCTGATGCAAAGAGAGATTCAAGTTTTGGGATCCTCCCAGTTTCCATCCTACACATTTTTTTTCTTTAGCTGGTTCTAATTTGTATTCTTTGCTATAATAAAACTATAATTGTAAATATAGCACTTTCCGGAATTCTGACTTGTTTTGTGAACTATTGAACCTGAGGGTGGTTATGGGAATCCCCAAATGTGTAGCCAGCTGGTCTGAAGTGATGGTGGCTCTGGAAACTCCCAAACTGTCAGTTAGTGTCTGAACTGAAGGTGATTTTGTGGGGACAGTTCTCTTAAACTTCACTGCTGGACAATCTCATTGAATTGGCCTCTTAGACAAATTTGACAGTTGGAGAACTGTGCCTTCAACTGTGAGTTATGCTAACTCTGGATGGAAAATGAAGTCTTAGATTTTTCAGTAGTTTGCTCCAAATCTGCTAATACATGGAGAATTTGAGATCTGGATCCCTGCAGGGTGATCTGATTCCAGGATCCATCCAAGAACTTTAAGCTGTTTCAGAAAACTACAGAATAGAAAGATAGTTTGGATTCCCCCTGAAGACCTTGAGACAAAGATATGAGTGAAAATAGTGGTTTTGGGAGGTGTAATAAATAACAGTTGGAGGATGGAGAATTGAGCCAGAAACAAAAGGCAGCCAGTGTTATGTGTTATCCGGACAACTATCATTGCAGGTGATTGGAGCTTACTCCATATGGGGAACTGTGAGTAAGGGTAAAACACGTTCCATCTGGGGGTGAGAGAGCTGTGACACTGACATTCCAAGGTAGGCTGTGGTTGAGGACAAAGATTCAGGGAAAAGCGTGAATTTTATTTTCCTGGCACTTGTAGACGACACAATGCATAGACAGAGTGCTTGTCAAACATTTTGGAGAAAGCTGTTTAACAAGCATATGCAGTTATTAGCAGATGGAAATCTAGGCTTTTGGGGATTGGGCACACTGAAATAGCAAGGTCTGAGGGATATGAGCATGGACAGAGAGCTCTGACAGCTGTAATAGCAAATATAATATCACTGTTTTGGAAAGTGAGGGGTTAGAATCACAAACTACACCAGACTCAAGCCTCTGCTGTCAAACCTGAAAGAGAGGTGAGGCATATGGCTAGACAATGCATTGAAATCTTTAGCCACATCAAACATTAGCAATCCACAGTAATTAATAAGGTTATCTGCTGTTCAAGTATTTCTCCCTTCAGGGGTGAAGGGTTTATTCTCTAAGCAGATACGAGTGCAGCCTAAATATGCCCACGAGGTATCAACCCTCCAT